TGGAATGATACATTAAATGTAATCATCCTTTGAATTACTTTTCACTCGTATAAGACTGAAATTTAACGCCCCATTATTCTTTTCACAGAGTGAAACGCGGCGATCTGTGCCACTAACCTTGAACCAGTAGTATACTACCATGCCTAAGAGTGATACCTGGCCAGGTGGCATTGGATTGGAGACGATGAGCGGCATGGACTCTGCTGGCAGCTGTGACAGCGTCGTCAGTGCCAATTCTGGCTTTGTAAGTTCCTGACCTTCCCTTCTTCAATCTGAGAATGGAAATAGTTGTCTTCCCTCGGGAAGGGTTTAAAACATTTTCACACGAGAGTAAAGTCAACTCTGTTTATAAGAGTTTGTCTGATTTCCTTCCTGTGTTACAGAGCGATGATAGTCTGGAGCACCTGTCTGCTGAAGAGAAGGCCTGCCTCATGTTTTTGGAGGAGACAATTGAGTCTTTGGACACTGAGGAGGATAGTGGATTGTCCAATGACGAGCCCGACCAGATGCCCAGTCCTGGTAATCTCGCTATCAAACTGGCTGACCTGTCAGCCTCCATGAGCAAAAGCAAGCTGAACGGTGAGTTAATCTCTGGAGACAGATGCAGAACTAGCAAGACATCAGTCAGTGATATGTCTGAACAGCATTGCAGTGTGTTTCCAGTGACAAACATGTGCTTGTGTGACTCAGATTTACAGAAACATCCCTCCAGAGAATACATCAAGGAGAACGCTGACACGAAACCCCTGCAGAGTCACCTGGTTCCTACACCTCTTGTTATGGCAGGCGGCACTCTCTGTTCTGTATCCAGCACCAAACCAGGGGTTCCTCCAGATGAAAACCTCTCCAAGCCTCAGATCGCACCTCCAAGCAACAAATCTCATCAAAAACCCAACCAGAAACCTGTTGTTCACTTTGAGGTGAATGTTGTGATACCTCCTCCCACGAAACCCAAGGAAAACTCTGTCAGGACGGCTGAGGGTCCTTTACCGAGAGGACCTCTGTCGTACGATGCGCTTGTTTATCTGCAAAGGAGTGCCTCCACGAAGAAGACCCCTCTATGCCCCACAGTTGATCACACTATAGAATCGGACAAGCATCCTCCCGCCTTGATGGAAGGCCCAAAGTTCGGAAACATGCCGAGATCTGACCAATCCCACCGAGAGTTTTCCAAGCCGAATTCAATTCCTCCAGTTGTGCCGCCTAAACCCAAAAATATTCCTGCCGGCATTTTTGCAAAAACACAGAATGGAGCTTCGACAATCCCAAACTCTTCTGACAGTATCAAGCATGCGAAAGATGCCCAGGTGGTGAGACAGAAGGCTTTGCAGAAGCTCGGCCTCCTGAACGATGAAGAACAAGAAAATGAGACACTTGCTCCACTACCTCCCCCCAAATCTCACCCCTTTTTGGACCCAACACCTAAAAGATTTACAAATGCACCAAGAAGCCCATCGTTCTCTTATTCTCAAGTGCCCAAGAACAAGCCTCTGCAGAGCAGCGCCAGTTTCCATCACCACTCGAGATCTGACCATCAGTCTGCATCTGCATCACATCCAGTTCAGCCCAAAGTATTAAAGACAGATGTTCTGGAGGACCAGCGGAAAGGTGGGAACTTTCCTGAACGGGGACACATCACAGGGGCTGAGCCAGTGAAGACCACCTCTGCAGCTCGGCCTCAAAAACCCTCTAACTCTGTTGGATATTCTGTAATGGTGGTGCCGGGGATGGGAGCCGATCGGAGAGAAGCACTCAGAAAACTCGGACTGCTTAAACACTGAAAACAGGTGGGCGGGAGAAGTGTGACTGCATAGATGCAGTGGAGAGTTCAGAGAACCATCAGCTTACTGAGAGTTAGAGCATTAAGAGGGAACTTGGCACTCGACACTTTTGGCAAACTTACGCATGAGGATGAAGAGGAAGAATTTAAAAGGGAAGACCAGGACTTTCAACCTAGGTTGAACTTGCTTACCTGAGGGAAGTTTCTTTTCTTTTTTTCTATAACAAATTGCAGTTGGTCACAACAAGATCTCAAACGAGCCCAAAGAGTTCATATGAAACTAGAATAGAGCGTACCTACACTAAGGCTATAAAACTGGTTCTATAGTTTTTGATTACTCCTGCTAATAGACAAAGAAACTAAAAGTACATACCTCTGCAACTGTCCCCTTAAATCCAATCAAGCTGCACCAAAGAGCAGAAATGTAAAGATATCAGTTCCCTTAATATGCTTGTTTTTAATCAAGATCATTGAATTATTCCCTGGAAAACCAAGAAAATCTCTCGATGTTTAAATGTTTATGGGTTCTTTCTTGTCCCTTTGTTTCACCAAGTTTCATGGAAATCTGTTGAGTGTTATTTGCATAATTGTCTTGGGGAAAAAAAAAACCCAAAGCAACAAAAACACCCAACGGATACGTTTAAAAACACATTAAAACAAAATCTCTTTGTTGAGGTCAAAAAGTTTAAACATCAATATAGTCTTCACCCTCATATCTCCAAATCCCATGCAGCACTGGGTTGCTGAATGTTAGTAGTTGTCCATACACTAGCATGCACCCCAGGTTTATATGAGATTATTTGTTTTATTATAAATTATATTACAATGAGCCTTGATGTGCACAAACATCCCACTTAAAATGGTGTTGAAAACCAATCCATGGTTTTCTATTAATCTTGCTCCATCCTCAGACTGTACATAAAATGCTGCTCCACTCTACTGAAGCTTAAAGGAGACACCGACCAAAATAAAAGAGATTTTTTTTACATATATTGCCGATCGTTCCAGCTCACAGATGTGCCTTTAAGTGGATCATTGACAACATGTCTTGGACCAGAGCTTTAAAGAAGCAGATGTGTGTTTGCAGTTTATTATTATCAGAGAGCAAAACTTTGAAAGTGTTGTGGGTTGATTTTTTTATTGTTTTTTTTTAAACTACAGTAGCTATAAGCATTACATGATGATTGAGATCTGATGTAACAGTAGTTGACAGATTTGTTTATAGTATAATTTCAAAGTGTATTTAGATATCGTCACAAATAGTTTGACAAACTGTTCATGTCACTCCCTTGAGGTGAAAATGACAATGTGGTTATTTGTGATAAATTCATCCCTGAAAATAAAGATAAATCTTCATCTTCATACTCAGAACACACGTGTATCATGCTGCCTTTTGGTTTGTAACTGGTGCAACAGCTCGTAAAAATAACGGTTCAATGGACATCGCTGTGTTACGTCACCAACATACTTTATGTTGTCTTTACTTTAGTCTGTTGTTAATCTGACTCAATAGCTACAATAATTGATCATCAGAGAAAAATCTCAATGTGTCTTCTACCCAAACAGAGCTGGTGAAATATTTGTCATGAATCTGCCCTTTTGCTTTAATGCACCACATGTTTCATACAATTAAAGTAATTAGGACAATGCCATAGTGTTTAAAATGTGCTTTCTTTATTCTCCATTTTTCATTTTAGCAAATGTTTCCCATATGTTTTTTTTGTGTCTGTTCTGTTTTTAATCGGTTTGCTGTGTTTTAGTTTGTGTGTGTTCACATATTGCCCATGTAGTGGGGACCTAAGTCTGTCAACACAGTCACATTATGGGGACTTACAGAGTGACTCTACCTCTGTGCTTCACCCAGCTCTCCACTTACAGAAGGACCATCACTCATACCACACTACTCATCTTACACAGCGCTCCGGCTACGAGACAGTCTGCTCAGCTGTTCCTCCATTATCCGATTATCTTCAGCCACACCTCCCTGTGAACTGTCCTCTCTTTGTTTTCTTGATGTCCCTCGCATGTTAGACTTTTTAATTCCTGCCAATGATTTATTTGAACGGCCGGGCCTTTTGTTACGCAACAGCCTCCGGAGCCTGAGCTAAATTAGTGTGCGGTTGATAATCGTGAGAGACAATTACAGTGGCCCTCTGTTGTTTTATCTTCTCGATGAGGCAAGCACCTCACATGATGGGCCTGTATCTGTGTCTGGTGTGTCTGCACAGACAAACAAAGGGTGTCGAGTTGTGAAACTGACACGAGTCAAATAATATTAAACAATGGATAAAGAAATCAGGCCAGAGCCCAAATAAGAAATATGATACTGCAGAAAGAACAGAGTTTCTTAGACGTAAAACTACAACCACAGTGTTTGTTGCATCATTTGCCAAATAAATCTGTACAAACGTTCCATATATTATCCAAGGATTTGTATTTGGCTCGAGCACAGATCAACAACTCTCTTGTCTTTATCAAGAAACAGTAATACAACACCTCAATCCACAACGCTGACCCCAGAGGTCACATGTAACTTGAGATAACTGTCTACTATCTGTCAGCGCTGCTGCCATGACAACAGCCCCCTGACCCATTTGTTCCAACGGAGTCACTATTTACTCCAACACCACAAACAGGTCAGACCTTCTTACTGGTGACAACACTGCAAACAAGTCCAGCTTTGTGAAGTGGAAACATTGATTTATTCGATCTATTCAGCAGCAGGTGAACGTTACAACAGTTGGAGTGTACGAAAGTTTTGAAGTACAGTGCAAAAATTCAAGGGTAGAATCATAATGAAGGTAACTGATCCCAATAACATTCAAACTGTGATTTAAAACACATGACATCACTCTGTGTCAACTAAAAGTGCCTGATGTATACATTTCTGGTTATGTGTAGTTATCAAAAAGTATTGGATCATCTACAATATACTGTATGTAACCAATCACATTGTATTCAATATTTTTAAGGTTCAGTGTGTAGGATTTAGTGGCATCTAGTGGCAAAGTTGTATATTGTGTTCAACTGAATACCCTTCCCCTCCTGTGGAGGAGAAGTAGAGTCTGAAAACTAACAGACCCTGACAGGCATTTGGTTTCGTGTGTTAGAACATTGACCCGAGCCCAATGTTTTCCCTGATTACAGGCACGTACAGCGAAAAAATCCGGTACACAGCCCAGCCAACGTGATACAAATATGCAAATGCAGCAGCGAGGGAGCAAATTAAACCTTCGATGGCAAAGGAAATCCACAGCGTGGCTTCGTGTGGAGTTCAACTTTGGTGAGCTTTGACCTGAGAAATTCTCCTGCATTTGCATATTTGTGACCGTTACCTTCCTGCAAGTGAAAAATACAAGAAAGACCCTCTGATGGGCCAGTGTTTGGATGTGTCTGTTCTGGGCAACTGTAAAAAACATGGTGCTGCAACATGTTGGACCAAGTGGAAGAGGACCCGTCCCTGATATAAAGGGCTTGTTTTAAGTGAACAGAAACTGTGATTATACTTCAATAAAAACATAAATATTAGCATTACACTTCCTCTACAGCCTACACACTGGACCTTTAAACAAAAAACACATTGAGGCGTGTTAGAGAAGGTAGGACATGAGAGTTCACACACAGTCTTTTTAAATCGCCTCATTATGAGATCTGCTTTTTTTACGCTTCCCCTTACCATTGGACACGGGGGCACCCAGCGACTCCAGGCGGAAGGGTCGAGGCATGACGGAGTCAGAGCTGACAGATGAGCTCACAGCAGAACTGCTCAGTGATAGGTGGGCTGCTCCGTTGACAAGAGGAGGAGAGTGGATGGCTGTAGCAGAAGATATCAACATATCAGGGAAAATGTAAACATTGTCATAGCTTTTGACATTTTTATTATTTTGTCACTATAATTTCTTCAGTCTGTCTCATTTAACCCCCCCCCCAAAGGAATGACACTTCCAAATGTAAAAGACCAGAGAGAGAAAGAGACATTTAGACTCTATTCTTATTGAACTGAAAGGTTTTTAGACAATTCACTACAATCAGTGGACAAGTCTCCAGGTCCTGCTCTTACCGTGTCCCTTGGTAGTGTCCCCCCCCAGCAGTTGACTGGTCCTCTTCGACTTGAAGTAGCTGCTGGCGATGTTCTCACTGTCACTGCGGTCCAGCATTTCCTTATACCTGTCCTCTTCCACCTGCTGAAATCACAGAGGGGTGAGGCTGCATCAGTGTTTCAGTGTGAGGGAGTAAAACATGATGCATGACAAATAAACACACCAACACACCAAACATGGTTCTCCACCATCAGCAGCTGAGCCTCTTCTGGTTGATGGTTTTGTATGCACGGCTGTTAAAGAGAAACAGAACTGGATAAGATTTACGAGGAAGAATTTGCAAAACACATTTAGGATTAAGCTAAAACCTGATACGTTTCTAATTCCCCCGTTCTTATGTTGCACCTGAAGGCAGCGTTGTTTTCTGCACCATCACATCCGGCAGCCTCCAAGTGACACTGTCCTCGTCCCACACCGCTTCTTTCTTCAGGCGGTCCAGGTTGCTGTAGTTGCAGTCGCGGCGCACCAGGGGTACCATGCGCTCCAGCAGGCTGTTCAGCAGTTGGCCCTCCTTCTCCAGCCGGCGGATGGTTGCCAGGTAGTCGTTCCGCTCCACTTCAAACTCTGCCTGCAGGTCACGGATCTCCAGTTTGGCTGCTTTCAGCTGTCACAGCAGGTTAATGTGTCTTTATGGTTGAAGGGTAGTGCATAAAATTCATCAGTTAGTGTGAACCGAGGTTTTATAAACTACACTGCAGCCAGCCACCAGGTGGCAATCAAGACACTGAGCTGTCATGTCGGCCATCTTTAAATACAGTCTATATCTACCTCTTAAAGAGACAAGGGTTTATAATTTTCTACATCGTGAAAGTTGATAAAATGCTTTTACTTTCAAGATCAGAGAAAATTGCTTTAAGAATTTTGGCCCAATTCCAACTGATTTCCTTCTCTGAGAGGCTTGAAAATGATGCATGAGTCTGGGTTAATAAGACATTCATGAAGTATAGTCTCAGCTATAAAACAAAATAAATTCAATTGAATAATTTTCCGTTGGCCACGTTCCTGCTCCAAACCAACAGTTGTGACCCACCTTTCCCTGCACCTTGACCAGGATTTGACTTTTGGCATGGACTTCCTCCTGGATAGAGTTGTAGACATTCAGCAGCACATTTTCACTCTCCTCACTGTTCTCCGACAGCGCTCGGATGAGCTGCACTTTTCTCTGGTCGGCGAGATTCTTCCTCTGCCGGTGTCTCTGCTGCAGCTCTTTGTTCCTGGCCTGCTCTCCTCCCACAACCTGCTGTTCCAGCTGCTGCAGCCTGTGGGAGAGACAGAGGTGAATGGAAGTGATGTGGAGCAATAGGAATAATAGCATCATCGTGTCTTAGAACATGAGGCAGTGGAAGCTGCTTAATGTCCTGGTATCTGGTGTATATTCATAGAGTCATAATATGTCGGGTAATGTTCCATATCCAATGTGCAAGGTTAAAAAGAAATCATCAGGTAGGGCTGGTAAGTTCCTCTTCGTTTAGCCTTCGATAGCCATTGATAAATAAAGTTGTCCTTCCAGGATTATGAACCCCAGCTTACATCAACACTTATCATAAATTACAACTGTAATTTTGTATTAACACATGAGGCCTCAAACCTTTCCAGGACATGTTTCTGGTCCAGAGGTTCTGCTGTGGCGACGTCCTCTGAGTCACTGAGCCCGTCTCCACCTGAACCTATTTGGACCTCATCTTCAGCACAAGGAGCAGGAGGCTGATTCACCAACACAAGGAAGTTACATCCAATGAGTTTGTAATAAAATAATTTACTTTCAGGTCAGAGATCATTTGACACACGTGTTTCAGGTAGTGTTGGATACCTGATTATTTTGGGATAATAAATAATAATGGTGTAGAAGGACTGTACCTTAGAAGTTTCTCCCGGTGCACTGAGACACAAGGTGTCATTTTTAAGGCAGAGCTCCTCTTGTGTCATACAGCTCGAGCTCACTGATGCTGGGAAACAAAATCAAAACGATAAAATTGCTAATTGTCAGTGTTTGTTCTGAGGATTTGACAGAACAATGAGCCCTGAAACTGAAAAACTCATTAATGATCTATTTACCTGTGTCTCTGTGATGGCCAGAGGATTTCCTGTTAACATTCTTTGGGACAGTGCTCCCCCTGCTGGCTCGGGCCTTCTCCAGATTGGACACTTTGGATTCATAAGAGGAACGCAGTGCAGCAATGTCCTCCTGCAGCTTTGCCTTGGACTCCTGCTCTGCATTGTACTCGGCCCGCAACTTGGCCAGCCTCTCCTCATACTCCTGCAGAGAGAAAGAGAGAGAGCAAGCAGAACACAGAGCCATAAATCACTTCATCTCTACAATGCATGTGGAGAAGTGAAGTGATATATTGGTGTGGGAACAGCCTGGAGTTGCCTCTTTAATCTTCTCCTTCTCTGCTTCTGTGGTATTTGACTCTGGCCTTGAAGGAAGATCAGGGGATGTTTGAGACAACTGACCAGCCAACAGAGCTGCATGATGAGGACCAATGATAAATCAATAAAAAAAAGGAAATAATAGTCAGACATCTGTCAATAATTAGAAATATTAGTAATATTTTAATTTAAAAAAGTTTATATTTCCCTTATAACTAAAATACGTCACTTACTGGAAAGGTTAGCCATGCCCAGCTGGCCTGAGATGAGGGCCCGCAGCGTCTTGATCTCTTCCTGATACTCTCTGAGCAGAGCATCCTTGGGGTCTTCGTTGATCCGCGGCCTGTTCTGGATGCTCTTGGCTCGGTTGGCATAGCGCAGCGTGCTCAGGGTCTCCTCGTAGTTATTGTCAGCCGGGGAGAGACAAGCGATCATCAAGGTGCGTGTGTTTCCTCCCAGAGAGTCCTGCAGAAGCCTCGTCAGCTTGGAGTCCCGGTAGGGGATGTATCTGGAGCGTCCGTCCACCAGGGCTGAGATGACGTTACCCAGGGCCGAGAGGGAGAGGTTGATCTTGGTTGCCTCACGCAGTCGTTCGCCAGTGGCACCGGTTTTGGACTGACGCTCACTTCCTGCCAGGTCAACAAGGTTGAGTTTACCTGCTCGGAGGTGGTCCTGCCCTGCTGCATCTGAGGAGGTGAGGGACAAAGAGAAGGTAAAGAAACTACTTGACAGTGTATACCTGCATCAAATAAAACAATAAAACCCACTCAGTTACAAACACGGGTAAAGACAATACTTAGAACATGTGGCACTGAAGCTCTGAGCAACATGCCAGTGTTTAAATACATTTATTTACTCTTTTGTATTTGCTAATTGACATCTCTCTTTAAAATACTCAGTTATTCTGTGCTCTATAAATTGATCGTATTGCGCAACACTATTAGTAGTAAAGCTTTCCCTTATACTCTTTACACTTGGTCTAAAATTTGCTTTATCTTTCCTTCACCTTTCTACCCCATGTGTTCAGTTTTATGCACCAAAACACAAAATTCCAAGTATGTGAAAAGCTACTTGAACATAATATAATAAATAAAGCAAAATACAAAGTTGTTGTTGTTTCACAAACATGTCAGCGACATGGAAAAATAATCGTACACATTCTTAGGTTTTTTTGTCATCATACACACATTTATGTTTGATTTAAAAGAAGTGGTTAAACCTGAAACAAGATTAATGGCAAACTAATAAGAGGTTGATGTTATCAGGAGGTGGAATTTTTGTTTAACTTGAAAACTGAGCTGCCGCTGATTAGACATAATGGTATCACACCTCTACGAGCACAGGCTAATGCAAATAGAAACTTCTTTATCATACATTAAACAGTTGTGTGATAAAAGTATTGTATATGTGTGTGTGTGTGTGTTCACCAGTGTTGCAGATCTCTAAGTGGATGGTGAAGATGGAGTGGGAGCGGGAGGAGTCTTTGTTCATCAGCGTGTAGCCCACCGCCCGGTTCCTCCAGCCCTGCTCTATGATTCTCTCACACTCGCCCACATTGTGCACGGTGTGCATGGAGAGGTCACGCACGTACACCCCATGCTCTGGGTGCTCTTTCAGCTAAGCAATCATCAACCACACACAAAAACCCACAATCAAAATCTGTCACCCTGTTCACCTTCACCGGCAAGAATCCATATCATTACTGTGCTTTAAAATCGCCATGGCAACTAAGCGCTGTGTTTACTGTCAGGACAGTCAGAGAAAGAAGTTTCACAATCGTTGTGTTTAACAAAGAACAATAATAGTTTTGTCTTCTAATGTTACACAATGTTGTGAACGGTGATTTAACAGGCTCACCTCCAGTCTCTGTTTGGTGTCGCTTCCCAAAAGGTCTCTGATTTCTTCATTGTAAATCTCCAAGTATGACGCCCTCACCAGGAACTTCGTATTTTCTGCACACTAGCTTGCACATAAAAATACATGATTATGATTAGTCTTTCTGAGAATGCAAAGTTTAGACAATTATGGTCGATTAAGACAAATTCAGACACACGCTAAAAGGTCTTGGAATTCATAAAATGGATCTGTGGACGTGTCAGGGACTGAAATCTTGAAGGACGGAGTTTTTTGTGGAGATGGATGAACACTGGATGCATCAGGGGGACCAGGCTGATGAGCCGTACAGAACGGTGACAGCTGTATTGCCATCAGCAAATCTGAGCTGTTAGCTCATCTCGCCAAATCATTGTTGTGTCTTCTTTGTCTGTCTCAAAGACGTCAGAGATGTTATGTACCCTCCTCCAGTTGTCATCTGTCTGACTTCCTAACTCAACCTTGGGTCTTACAAATACTGCAATAGAGGAACGTTTGGATAATTTCAAATCTCAGCATATTTTCTATCATCCTGGGTTAGAAAGGTCCCCCCAAAAATAAGCCAGTGAATACTTAGTGAAATAGAATAAAACTAAGTTAATAAAATACATCTAAACTATAAGAAATGTCCATAACAGTGCCTACCTGAATACTCTCAAAGATGTGTTCAAACGCCCTCGGGATGACTCCCTTCTGGGCTGCAGGCTCAGACACCCCCTGCATTGTGTATGACTTTCCGCTTCCAGTTTGTCCATAGGCAAAGATTGTGCCATTGTATCCTTCAGTGACTCCCTGTAAAAAAAAAAAGAAAACCATTATAGGTCATCAGTGACGTTTTGCATCTGGCTTTTTCTATGAGCAGCAACACTTAGATAATTTAAAATATAATTAGATGATGTTACGTTTTTAAATGTGCACAAATAGGATGTCCGGCTGGTCTGTACCAAATGTCTGTCCCTGTCAATCCAGAGCCACATCCGGTGCAAAGTGTTGGTTGTGTCTGTTGATGTTTTTCCACCCCCACCTTCTTACACACCCACCACATATTCACCTACCCACACACATACATACCTAACTACTCAAGTACCGACACACGTAACACTCATTCACCTCTCTTCCCACCCACGCACACAGGTGACCTTCACAGGTGACCGACAGCAGACTGCTGAGTAAATAATGAGGTCCGCCATCCGTGGCAATAAGAAACAGGTCACTGATGTTGTTCTGACGGTGTCCAGTGTCTGTGGAGCTGCACACATCTGCACACACTGTCCCTCTGTGTTCACACCGACAGCAACAGACGGACTCACCTCCACCAAAGCGTAGGCGATCTCGTTGTACACCTCCTCGGTGGTTTGATCGGTGAAGTAGGTCCCATCGAAGGTGAACTGCTTGGGAGGCTCATCCGCCGCCCCGGGCTTCTCTATGAAACACTGGCAGCGCCGCAGGTCCATGGTCAGCACCATGTTGGAGCCCAGGGCCTTCTCCCTGTCGTTCAGGGGCCTGCACCTGACCACCACCTTCACCGACTCCGACCCCATCACTCACCAACAGGAAGAAGAAGAAGAAGAAGAAGAAGCTACCTTCAGAAGTGAGCTAGCACACAGACATCTCAAGAGCCGGTGGCTGGAGAACATCGAGTGACAAGAAGTGATCCAAAAACAGCTCAAGGAGAGAAACTAGGCTGAACGGAGTTACTTCTAGTTGGTGGAGTTACTCCAGGAGACGCCGCAGATTCTCCTCCATCGTCTCAGCTCCTCTCCGCGCAGAGTCTCCACGTTGCCTAGCGACCACAAACCACAGCTGAGCGAGGGGCCCGAGTGGCGGCCATCTTGGTGAGGTCGAGGCTAGCATGCTAACAGTGAGTGTGTTGTACTTCTGTAAAGATATTTCACGTCGTTCTTCCGGCTGATTCATCCTGTCATTGATTTTTTTTTTTACAGGGTTAAAATGTTTTTAGACTAAGTTGATAAAGTTGGAGATGATCAAGCGACCCCATGCTACACTGCAGAAAAGTCTTTCGGGTGACGTTTCGCCATGAAGTTTCATAAATGACTGTTTAAGACACCGATTGAAACCAAGGATTGTCAGTGTAATGTGGAAAAGATTTACTATAAATATCTTACCTTCACTGTCATACGGCTGCTTACACAGGAACATAACATCACAGATTATTTTACAATAACCACCATTCCAACGCAAACCTAGTTTTATATCGTGACATCTTGGTTTATACGCTCTGCTGAAAAAACCCCTGATCTAACATCAGGACACAAGATTCCAGTTAACCACTTAAAACTACCAGTAAAACAGACATGCCAACACATTAGACTGACAAATATTAAAAACACATTCATGGCCATGATATAAGAGCTCTGATATACGCCAATGATATAGAAAATGTCCCAGTAACATTTTGTTACTTCAGGAAATTCCTTGTATAGAATGATTCCAGGTCTAACGTCTAAACTGAGAAAAAAATAACAAGCAAGACTTAAGTTCAATGAAACGATAAAATATATTTGTATAATGTCTTTAAAACGCAAGAAAAAAAAAGATTACAAAAATTGGTTCAGGTGCAAAAATCAGAGTTCTCAACAACACACCATTAAAACACAAATAACCTCTGACGCCTTGCAGACACATATAAAAATACTTAAAAATATATACTGAAAGACATAAAAACAGCAACATCTTTGATAAAGCAGTACCCTTCCATGAAATGACGTGTATACATTAAGTGCCAACACTGTTGATAGGTGCATTATAGTTTGGGAATCCCCTCCGCAACACCAAATGTGATTTTGAAGTAAGAGCGATTTACAGTTTGTGCAAAAAAGATAAAAAGAAAAGCTGTCACTTAGTTTGGATCCTCACAGTTTGGCAAGCCACAGAGTTTAAAACCATTTTCTAGAGGTACTTTTAATTTTGGCTAGACTGAAGAACTTGTGTAACTTCACAGGTAACTGTTTGCTGGTGTTCTCCTCCCACTCGTAGCAGTGGTTCACTCGGGCACAGCTCAGAAGACTCGGCAGCTCGTCCTGGGTCTCAGTGTAGTGTTCAATCAGTTCAGCGAGGGAACTGAACTCAGTCCTGCATTTCTGACACAAAGACAGAACAAAAGAAAACGATTTTAGGATTAAAGTCAAATTAGGCAAATCATAATCTAGGGTCATTGATATTTCACACCCCCAACAGTTAAAAAATAAAAATAGGATTCGATTTAAAAGGGTTAGGGTTAGACATTTGTCAGAAATATCTGATATTATAACATATATATATAAAAATTACAATATCAATGTTCTATCCTAGAAAACAGTTTTTCAACATATAACTAAAAGGAAAAAAAAAAAAAAAAAAACTAAATTTCTGGAGAGTAAACCATTTCCTTTCAATTTCCCTCTACTTCTTAAGATTTTGTTTCCACTATGAATCTCATCACATATCAGCTTGATACGTTCCTCAATAAAACAGTTACCTCCAGCAGGAATTTTCCCGTGCGAGTGTTTTCTATGAGGTGGGTCACCAGGCCGGAGGAGAAGCGAATGATGAGGGAGCCACATTTGGGTTTTTTCGGGTGAGGGCACAGGAGGTACGACCCCAGCACATCGTCTGCCAGCAGAGAGTAGCTGCTGTCACTGAAACGTTGGGGAAAAAGAAAAACCATGAGTGCTATAGACGTCATCTGTTGTCAGAGAAGTTTTTGGAAGGGGCTACTCACGTTGCGATACCAGCCCAACACCACACCGTTTGAGCCAGTGCTTCTTCTGTTTCTGCGAGACTCGGAGCGCGGGACCTCGGAGCTGGTGTCTTGTCTTCCGCCTTTTCTGTTTCACACACAGAGAAATCATTTGGATTTGTTTAATCTCCAGAGTTTCAATAGTGGAGGTAATCCACAACCCACGTTGGTGTAGACAAACTTCAATCCAGACAATCAGTGAAGGCAATATTTGGTTTAAATGAAGAAAGCGGTGACGAAATAATCCTTAAAACCACAGCTTGTGTATCAATGTGTTAAAGCTACGAGTCAAATAAACAGAAACTCAACAGTGAGACGCTTAAAAAAAAAGTATAATGACCCATGTGACACAAGAATTTTATCCGTCACCTTTATCAAAAAGTGGTTAATGGTAAAAACCTCCGTCGACACCACAACAGACAGTGAGTGGTCGCCATCACCCAACACTGAGGGGTTTTCTTTACCTAATCAACTCCCTGACTCTTGATAGCACTCTGTGAACACCGGGCCCACCTTGTGATGCGCTCAGGTGCTCCTGAACGAGGCGCTGTTTGAGTGGAGTGAAAGTGAAGGACCGGTAAGCCCCAGAGCGCATTGCTTTGGTGCGGATGGCCTTCTTGCGAACCAGCGAGGGGGAGGGGGTGGGGAAGACGTCATCTTGGCTGCTCTGTGTGTTATCAGAGGACTTGTGGCTTTTCTACGGATGAGGCAAAACAAAATGTTATCAAGATGTAGCTTGAGGATTTGGTTTCAGATTTAGTCAGTCGCCACAACAGTCTTTTTTTTGCTTGTCTCGTTCACCAACAGACACTCTGGTGAATCCATAACTGTATCATTCATCTACCACAAAGTGACGACACAGATTTCTTTTTACGCTCATCTGCTCCAGCTCGTATTCTTAAAACAGTTTGAGCGGCATTGTAGGAATTAATTGTACTCCAGTAGTTCACTTCAGTAGCGGAGGATCCCATAATATTGATAACGTTTTATGACTACAGACAATGTGAGGATAACAAAATGCATCCATGCTGCAGGTTGCGTTCTGTCGAGCAGAGGGAGGAGACGATGTTCAGGTTCAAACCTTGATGCCGGGCAGCAGCCCTTGGAATGGGGCTCTCCTGAAGGACACCAGGGCACTGACACTGAGAGGGAAGCCGTGGTTGAGCAGCGAGGGGTTACGACGAGGCAGTGAACCCTCGGAGTCTGTCTGAGCCTCGTCGGGGTGTTTCTCCAGGTACGACAGCTGGAAACATCGGCACAGCAGCAGATTCAGGAACTGGGCCTAAAGGAGAGAGAGGGTTAAGTAGTTGTGTCTCAGCCAATAAACATTAACCTTTGAATTTCCAATCCCTTTAAATGTGTTCCCAACTGTTCCCTCACTTTTGTGGTTTTGCTGGTGGGGGGGGCAGGTTACCCTCTAATCATTCTTATTGGAAGGTAGTGTGTGAATTCCCGACAGCTCTACGCAGCTTAACCTGAATAAAGGTCTAATCTGGACGTTCCTTACGTGTCTGGCGTGCCGAGCCTGAAAGACGTGGCAGTACAGCTGGGTGTCAGTGCTGCCTGGGTTGTGAGAGACGAAGGCAAACTGAGCATCAGTGGGTCGGGCGGTGGACAGAGAGACTCTGCGCAGGGCGTGAGCCATCAGGAGGGTCTGCGTACAGGGAGGGTGACAGCAGGGACGCCAGATGACTACGACTACATCTGCAACTTTCATCATTTCGGGTTTTAGGTTTGAACACAGTCGTGAGATCCTCAGAGACAAATGATCGTCCTTACCGTTTCATCCTCATTGTACATTTTCACACCTTTGATGGAGAACTTCAGGGACACAGGTCGTCTCCTCCTGCACGTCTGTTGAGGACAACCAGTGTTTTAGCTCCTGTCACTTGCATTAGACAGGTTTCAGCTGCTTTCCAGATATGGATCATTTCAAGAATCTTACTTTCAGCACCATCAGCTGAGCGTGCAGTTGCTCTATCTGGTCGTCCAAACAGCGGTCGTCCACAGGAAATGAGCCGACATACTTCACAGCGGAGACAAAGTTTAACACACAGGAACCGGAGGACACTCGTGCAGACGACAGGCGAATTGTTCATTTTTACCAGGGGGGAGGGTGAAGCTTCATTACACACAGCAAAGTTTGTTTTTCACTATTTTTAACAATGCGTCGGTTTTATCTGCTGCTTCATACTGAACCCCCCCCCCGCCTGCCACAGACAGCAAGATCTTAATGGAGTGTGACAGATGCTCCGTGTGATTGTGAGGGAGAACCAGGCAGTGCTATTTTTTTTTTAATCGTCATTAACTTTATCATTTATTTTATATTCTTCTATATTCTCCTCCCTCATATTATAGCTCCTCTATCGAACATCTTGTCGGTGTCTGTTTTTTTAATACAAGCGGTTCCAACTGATTTGCCTCCAATGGGTTTTAAATAAATATATTTGTAGGGTTACCTCTGCTGATCGTGTGACTGTACCATCTTCACTCACTGGAGCTTCACCCATGATGACGGATTTTATCTGTCAAAATAAAGAAAGCAAAGGTTTGAACACACTGAGAGCAAGAGTGAATGACCCCCCCTGTGAAAAAAACCCAAACTTTAAGGAAGTTAAACGTTGAACAGTCAGATGAGATGATAATGATCGGGCTCATGTGTGCTGTAGATTTACATGAAGACAGGAAACCTGACTCTGGATTTCCACATGTTTAACTCTTTAAGTTTCAACGCAGTGAATTCACGCCACAGTGTCGGGACGTGTTTCGCGGCCTCATCAGTCCTGACATGCGACAAACACAGTTTCAGAACAAATCACCAAACTACAGGCGGAGGAAGAAAAAAAAAAACTCCCGTCCCGTGTCGGACCCACGCTCCCCCGCGGTGTCCGGGTCTGAACTCGGTCCACGTGTCGTTTAAAGTCTCTGGAGATCACTCACCGGTTGCGCCTCCTCTTCCTCACCCGGGAACACCGAGCTCTTCCTCAGCTTTACCTGCCGCCGCCACTCCGTCCGCCAGGTGTGAGCTGCGGGCCAGAGGCGGAGCTCCGGGGAGGAAGAGGAGGAGGAGGAGGAGGAAGGTGTCTGAACACTTAACGCAGTGAATCACCCCCCCCCCCCCCCCCCCCCCCTCCCCACCTCCCACAGATCCTCACATTCCTCTTCATTGCGCAAGTGTCAGTTCTCTCCTTCAAGCACATGATCCCCGGATGTAGAATCAGGTTAAAGTTCCACTGTGTCACATCTGCAGGTTCGACCTATCCCAGGATTCATTGCGCTGAAACATTCTGTGTTAATGGCTCCAGAACCAATGACACGTTTGACACATTAGTTTTGCTAACAGTACTTTTGTTTAAAAGAAAAAAAAAGTTGCATTTAAACTTTCTCATCTTCTAATTTCAGCTCTGTTGCTAGGCAACAACGAGGGTGGGACAAGTTGCTGACACCGATTTTAGAAATCACCCGAGGACCAGACCGTCTCATTCTGGTGTCAACGTCACGGGAGGACGCAGCCCGCAGTCAGTTCACAGAGACAAAGATTGTGTCCCCCCCCCCCCTGGAACCCTCATTGAAATAACTTCAATCCTTATATATTACTTTGACAATTTAACCTGAACTTGATCTCAGCATCATCACACATTAAGGACCATCATTGGTTGATCTTCCAGGAAGTTAAATCTGAATCACCCTTTTAAATCTCTCAGCTTCAGTTTAAAGTCCCGTTAGCACCCGATTGTCCCGCTGGAACCACACAGATGGTTCGAGTCGGTTTGAGCAGAAAAGAAACCATTAAAAGAACATTTTATATTATATAGTCGATGGAATGACGATTTTCACAGCAGGTTTACAAATATAGCCATTTTATTAATGACTTGGAAAAAAAGCTTAACAACACAAGGAATACATGCATGCAGGGTATGTACTGTATGAGCTATTATCCTCCTTATTCACAACACACATTTCTTACACTTTGTACTGAATTACAGCTGTGAAGCAATGGAATCACTTTATGTATATGCTCGATTATACACACACAGATATATAAAAAGACTTTTTACCCAATATGACTTGTTTTGAAATGAACACTGATCTAATGTTTGATTCTCTTGTTAAATCCTCAGCCTGGCACCAGCAGGCCTCATCTTTTCAAGGGGAAATTCTTTTTTTTTTTTTTAAAACAAATAATTAAAAACATAATTATACAAAGGACAAATATGTGTAACAGTTCAGATTGTGGTGCGGTGCTGCATGGCCAAAACAAATGTGTTTAGGACACAGGAACACAAGTTAAAATCTGTGATTTATAAAATATTAAGATTTTAAACCCTCGGTTTACTTAAAATTGACATTTTCACCGCTCCAAAACACTCACTTCATTTCATATTTGGAATGTGTGCTGCCAACACCTACAGAGTGGATGAGAGAGAGATATAAAAACAGAAGTCACTACGTGGCTCTAGTTTACAGTATGTCGGATCCTGCTGGCAGCTGGACACATATCTGCTTTAACGGCGATGCTAGTTGAGCTTCTACACGTGATGATTACAAAAAGGAAATTGGGAAACCCCTGATGAACAGTTAACTTAGTGTTAGGGTGACGTGACGTTCTTATTCTACAATAGAAATAAAAATAAAAAATAAACTACTGCCCCGTTAAAAAGAGGAGAAAACAAGGATAAGAAGAGAGCGAGCGCTGAAACAGAGCTGCAAACTGAGAGCGGCCCAGTTCGTGGAAGTTGCTCCTGCGCTCAGTTCCTCCCTCTCTTTGACTTACGAGCCACCTTCTTGCTGCTCTTCGCGCCTTTTTTCACGACAGGCCCCTCAGGGGATGAAACTTTTGGCTCAGGGCGCCTGGGTCCACCTTTGGTCGCTGCCTTTTTAGCCGCGGGCTTCTCAGGGGTGGACTCTTCGGCTCTAGATCGCTTGGACCCCCTTGTCGTCTCCTTTGTGACTACAGCTTCCTCGGGGGACGACTCTCTGGACACCGGTCGCTTGGTCGCTCGTTTGTTCAGCTTTTTGACGGCTGGTGTTTTGGGCTTTCTTGCAGGAGCTCCTCTCTTGACGGGTGTGGCTTTAGATGGCGTCGTGGATTCGTTCTTTACCAATGTCTTGGCCCCTTTCTTGGCCGGAGACTTCTTTGCCAGGGAACGTCCTCTGCCTTTAGCTTTTGACTGACTTGAGCTCCGAGATTTTTTGGCCGGTGGAGGACGGCGAGCCTTGGGTGGAGGCCTCTTCTGAGATTTCCTGAGTGACGAGAACACACAAGTTTATTAGCGCTCTTAGTCGGCTAGCATTTTTTCAAAGTACCGTTTTTCAGAACAGAGTTTTAATTCTGTGCATTAGGTCTTAATGAGGGCACGCCTGCTCCAGACCTCACATTCCGTCATTAACGTTTGTTAACTTAAACGTTGACACCTACCTTCTACGGGCGGGAGGTTCATCATCATCATCATCTTCCTCCTCCTCTTCTTCTTCTGACGACTCCTCCTCTTCCTCGTCAGAAGAATCAACCGTGCGCCTCCGCTTTGTTGGAGTTGCAGCGTTTTTCTTCGGAGGCTCTTGGAGGAACTTGTCTGGATACAGGATGGTGGGGCTGAAGAGAAAAAGCAAAGTTAAACACATGACAAAAAAATCTCAAAGTCAATGTTCATTTATTGCCACATTTATTATCTATTTAAAATATATAAGATGTGTTAACCTCGTGAAACTATATTCTCTGACATCCATTAAAGAAAATATGTGATTCTAACTTCCTCAGAATAATAATAATCATCTTTATCTTCTCTATATCAGGAAAAGATTTAATTATTTGACCCACGTCTCATAAATAGAAGATCATCCGTGTTTCTGCGTGTTGTGTTTGTTTCACTGTGTATTGATAATTGCCACAGGAAAAAAAAATCTGATTCTTGAACATGTAGACAAAGTGTGATAAATGTATTTTGAACATGAATTGGTGAAAGATATCCTTTACTGCACTTTATTTACCTTGGGTAGAAGGGGAACGAGAGCTGGTAGGTTCCTGTGAAGCCATGACCAGTGATCTGCTCCATCCAGCCCAGAACTTTACACTTTGTCAGGGTCCTCCTCAGACTGGCCACTGAAGAAAAGAAGATCAGCTTTTAGTCAAATTCTATTTGGATGCACAAACTTTGCTCCATAAAATCGTATTAAGAGCGAACGGGGAAACTCTGCAGGCTTGAAACCTAAAAGAGGACGTGTGTAGAAGAATAGTTTCATCTTCTGCAGAGAACTAAAGTTGTATGTGTTACAGCCGATTCCACTAATGACAGGAGAAGCAATAAAACATCGATGGAAGCTTCTTGATTCTCTTGCACCATCATCCACTTCTCTTTATGAACGACTCCTGACATCTTCCTGCTTGTTCACTGATTATCTAATGTTTCATTTAAAGAGGAAACAACTGTCTAACTGCTTCAGAGCATCAGAGACACAATCAACAGGATTTAGGAATAATGATGTACAGAGAACGTACGCAAAGCTCCACCCAAGAGTATGTGTATTTACAACATGATGTCAACATGGTGTCTATTTAAATCCAGTATAACCAACATGGAGAACAGAACTATAAACACGAGTGATGACCTTAAATCGAAGCCATGTATGCAAGCGACTGTTTCTCACCGAGTTGGTGCTCTTTCCTGTCCTTGTTGGCATCTACTAAGTATCTGCGTAGAGTGGTGGTGCTGCAGGTTTTAGGTTCGTTCATGGCTGTGATGGCGGCTGTGATGGCGTCCTCCAAGGTGCTGCCCTTCAGCAGGACCTGGTTTCCAGTACGCTTTAACTGTGACATTGAGATATGAGCATGTTTACGATGCAAAGTTCGGTTCAAACCACGGCTCAGAGAACTGGTTGATTCATCAATTAACGGAACAATCATTCTGAGTCACTTTTTTATTTTTCAATAAATATCTGAATGCTTTTGTTTCTCAAATGTGAATTTTTCTGGGTTCCTTAGTCTTGAAATACAAGATGTTGTCTTGGATTTGGGGAAAATAAGATTTGACATTATTCACAATGCAAAAGATTCACCTAGAAACAACAAGAACAGCTGTTTGTATCCTAAATTCAAACATACAAATCTACAGCCCGTCGTCTCAATCTCACAGAGTCGGGATCATTTAGCAGCATCATCTTTTTTTCAATAGTGCCAATAAAAAAAAAAAGAGAGAAGTTGGACTTGAAAACTCTTATTTCCCCAGGAAATATATCTAATATCACAGAAACTGTATAATAAAAGAGTGATGCTCCAGGTGACAGATAAATTGGCAGGGGGAAGCAAACAGGTCCTGAAGTGGTGAAAACAAAACGTATCTTATAAGATAAAAACCTTTTAAAGTTTCTTAATGCACAGACGATAACTGGCTGAGAGAAGAATCTGTGATAGAAACATTACACATCTGTTCACCAAACAGGTTTTAATTTCATCAGACTTCATGTGCCACTCGTCACTGTTCAGAAGATCTGTCACTGAAGTAAAAATGAATCCATGTTTTACCTGGAAAGTTCCTCTGGCTCCTTTCCCAGTTATCTGCTCCAGTTGTCCTCTCTCCACCGCCTTTAATAAAGCTGTCTTTAACACGTCTGGCCTGAGGACGACACAAATCGTTCGTATTGTCAATAATCAATCATCACAGCTAATGAAACAACTTTACTATAAACACTCATTTGTAAAACTTAAGAGTCCTTTCAGTCCAGGCCACCGGTAAAACTACTGAGCCGTTTGTTGAAGCTAAATAAAATAAAAATCTTTTATTTGGTAGATTTTGTTTTTCTAAATTCTGTTGCTGTTATTAATTCATCTCTGAAGCTTAGTTATGTCGAGAATAAATAATTTGAGTCTGTGGTAAATTGTTTGATTGAATTACATCTGATAAAGGATTAAGTTGAAGTCAACTTTTGCAGGTCACAGGATTTAGAATGTAACATCATCTGCAACATTTCACATCCTCAAAATATTTTTGAAATAAATAATAAAAAAAATGATTTCCCTTTTATAAATGTGGGTCAAACAGTAGCTCTGTACCTGTTCTCGATGTTGAAGCTGGGAAAGTGC